GGCGCGACAACCGGCCAGGCGGCCCGGCACCCCCCCCCGGGCGACGGCCAGGCCCCCGGGCGGCCCGGGGACCAGCCTAGCCATTTGGTCCATTTCTCGATTTATGCGTTCATTCATGTGCAGGGGCCATGCTAATCTTCTCGGTATCGTTCCAATTTTAACGGATGCCCAAAGGACTGAAGGGTGTTGTTTGTAATTTCCATTCTTCCTTGGTTTGCCTCTTGGCCAGTTCCCTTGTCAGTTTGTGACTGGCCAAATTTTTAGGGGTTTCATTATATGTCCCCGGGGTTGGCATCCCACAGGGTTATGCCCGCGCCCCCCGCCCCTCCCCCCCGAAAAAAAAAAAAAAAAGAGTTCCCTTGTCATTCAGTTTGTTCCCTTGCTATGTGGTCCGGTACACGGTTCGCTCTTTATCACTACGGATTGTTGCTCGACTGCTTATTGTGCGTGGGCTGTCCATTTCAGTTACTATGAGGCTGGCTTCGGTGTCTTTTTTTGCCTTCTGCTTTTGAATGAGCTTCTTGCTGAGCTCTTGGGTCAGCTGGGGCTTTTGCATAATCACCTCAGGGATAGTGAAAACAGCACACTCTTGCGCCTGATTTCATCATGAGGATTGGACCATATCATCACAATTGGTAGTTTCCGCGCGCCTGGAGTACGGCCTCTGAGGATCAACAGAGACGCGTCGCGGGTGCCTCCAGTGAGCTTCCTGCTGATTTACTCTACTTATCCACTCGAGTGGCCTTTCTGCCATATTTCTCGGTAGTGTATGTCCTTTGTTCTTCTTTTGGCCCTCTATCATCTCCTTGGTTTGTCCAAGATGTTGTGATGGAAATGTGTTCTATTGTGCAGTTTACGACTTAAGAGCGACTGTGGTGCTTTCACACTGACAGTACCGTGTGCAGATGTGTTCTATCTTCACATCAATCCAGAATGACACAGGCTCTTTCACTCTGGTAGTGCTGTTTGGAAAATATGTTGTATTGTACGTCTGTTCGTCGGGAACAACTCAGTTTGTTTGCACCGAAATTGCTGTGCGGAGATGTAATGCATTGTACACATTGATACTCAGGTCCTTTCAGACCGGCATTGCCATGTGGAAATCTATCGTATTCTGTAGTCACTGATCTGAAAATATGACTCGAGCTCCTTTCACACTGACATCGCTATTGTGGAGATGTGTTCTCGTATTGTGCATTTGTCAGCCTCGAAGACTCAGTTCCTTTGAGGGTGAATGACAAAGTTCCGTTCACATTGATGTGTCTGTTCTGGTTTCATCTTTTTCTTTTTCTTCTTTTCCCCAGAACATACGCATTAATAGGTGGAAACCGGGTCAAGCATCCGTTAAATCTCAATGGGACTTGAACTCTGATCTGTCTATCAGCAGTCACACATGTGTACCATTCAGCCATAGGCTGTAGGTACTGATGTCCCTCCTGACCTTCACACGCACCCAGTTTTTCATGGATCCAAACTTCCAACGATTCCAAACTCTTACCTGTGTGTAAGAACGATGAGTTTCCGTCTCTCCGATCCATGCTGCCTCCAACGATGGGTGGTCAAGTTGACATTGAGCAAATTGTGGAGCACATCTACGCAGCAGAGGGAGATCACCAGAGCCTCAACTTCAGTTCGCTTCACATATTGCAACGACAGGTGGTTCACAAGCGAAGAGTTGATTAGCCTACACCCCAGGTTGTCTCACAGTGTGAGAGGGCTCTCAAAGGGAAGCAACAACAAGAATGAGGCTACCGTAGATGTCTTGTTGATCCAAGCGAAGGAGAGAGAGGTGGTTCACAAGAGAAGAGTCAATTAAGTCTGCACCGCAGGTGGTTTCACAGTTGAAAGGGCTCTCAAAGGGAAGCTACGACAAGAATGAGGTATCATAGAGGGCTTTTGAACCCAAGGGGTTGGGAATGCAAGGCCCTAAGTAGGCTGCGGCCACAAGCGAAGGTCGGGCCTAAGTCGGAAAGGAGATCCCTGAGCTGGTCTTCCAGGTAACCACCCGATAGGCCCTGCCCGGTAGGCCCTGTGTTGGGGTACCAATCAGGCGAGTACCTGTGTCGGACCCGAACCAGCAGGCAGTCCCAGCGGCTATCGGGTGGGCTCTCAAAGGGAAGCTACGACAAGAATGAGGTAACGTAGAGGGCTTTTGAACCTAACGGGGTGGGAATGCGAGGCCCTAAGTAGGCTGCGGCCATAAGCAAAGGTCGTGGCCAGGCCTAAGTCAGAAAGGAGATCCCTGAGCTGGCCTTCCAGGTAACCACCCGATAGGCCCTGCCCGGTAGGCCCTCTGTTGGGGTACCAATCAGGCGAGTACCTGTGTCGGGACCCAGACCGGTAGGCAGTCCCAGCGGCTCAGACCTCAGCCTCAGAATAGACCAATGGAAGGAGGCCGAGGGCAGTCACATTTGGGCAGCGGGCAGTATCATGCAACAGCGATGTGAGAGTGCTTGCACCCAGCGCCCAGGCGGCCAAAGCAGCATAGCGGGATCTGTTGTGCGCGTACACTCGCCATAGCTGGGAGGCAGCGCAGTGCAAGGGATGGGGTGGTGGGAGCCCAGGGGAGGTCAACGGAAGAGGAGCGGCAGTGGGTACAACCGGGTGCTTAGCTGTGTGCACAGCAGGAGAACGCTTATGTGATGAGGCTCTTCAGCGGCATCTGGCGAGAGGATTGTGGAAAGAGGATGAGAGAGAGAGAGAGAGGAGGCTAGATGGTAGGCTAGAGTAGGGAAGTAATATAGACGGACAGATCATAGCTTAGGACCACTACTCCGTTGTTGCATTGAGTTGTGGAGGCGTGAAGAGGACTTTCACTATCAAGAATCTCCATTGTTCAGTGTGCTCTTAAATTCTCACATGCTCGTTCCTTGGACAATCAAAAAATTCAGGAAATGAGCCGAGCACGAGGGCTGAAGACGCGTCTTGAAGGCTGCTCTCCGATTGTTGCTGGATCGTCGCAGGGAGCCTTTTTTTCCGCTTACAATACGGGTTATGCATGTTGGAAGTTTCTTTCCCATGAGGAGAGTGTCCTGTTGACAGTTGCACTCTGCAAATAGTACACAATCACCGAAACAAGAAATGGCATTCAGGAGGTCATGGGTTTGATTCCCCATGTCTTCCATTCGACTCCCCTCGGCCCCCTGCGGCACCTCTGGTTCACCAGCTGAGATAGTTCGCTTGCCCCCCCTGCTCGGTCTTTGGGGGGCATGTCTTCCTCCCCTCATCCAGTACTAGGGGTTAGGTTCAACCTTGAGGGGGTAGGCTCAGCCCCGAGGGGATAGGTTCAGATAGGCATTAGCCCGTAGGGATAGACAAGTAGGCCCCAGCTTGTTGGGATAGTAGGTAGTGTGAGGTATATGAGAGAAGAGTATAGCGGAGTTTTTGGAAAATAAGAAAAAATGGCAACCTCAGCCTAGCTCAGTTGGTAGAGGAAGAAAGATGCACTCAG